TTGTAGTTTCACAGTAAATTGACTAAGATTTCTTAAGATTTATTTATCCGAGGGCTCATTTTCACCAAGCTCCAAACACATGCCTCTGATAACTCCTTTGAGGCCATTATCCAAATGTCACCTTATCAGTGAGTAGTCACCTAAACACCAACAAAAAATAGCAACATCCTTCCCCTTCACCTTAGCACTCCCTATACATCTTACTTCAGTTTATTTTCCAGATTGCCATCTGATAGACTACATATGTATATGATTTTGTTATTGTTGCTTATTTTCTCTGTTCTCCCTATTGTAAATTCCTTAAGATCTGAGACTGTACTAGTTAGCTTTTCCGATATAACAAATTACCCCAAATTTTAGTGCCTTAAAATAACAACCATTTATTTAGTTTAAAAGTCTGTGTTTTGATAATTTAGATTGAATGAAGCTGAGAGTTTCTTCTGGTCTACGCTGCCCTCACTCTTGTGTCTGCAGTCAGCTGCCAAGTCTGTTGAGTGCTAGCTGATCCAGAATGGCCTCAGCTGGGATGACTCCTCTGCTCCATCTGATCTCTTTGTCTCCAGCAAGTAAGCACAGGATTGTTCACATGACAGTCGGGCAGGGTTTCAAGGAAGCAAGTGGAAGAGGACAGAGCCTCTTGAGTTCCATGGTCAGAACTGGTACCACATCAATGCTGCCCCATCGTATTCAACAAAGCAAGGCATAAGGCCAGCCCAGATTCAAGGTATAAGAAAATAGCCTCCATATCTTTTTAAAACATATTCATTACTTCAAATACTTATCATTTGTGTGTGTGTGTTGAGCACACCTAAAATCTATTCTTGTAGCAATTTTCAATCACCTTGCAAAAGAGGTGAACACATGGAGAAAAATAATGGTGGCAATTTTTGCAAACAACCTGCCAAAAGATTTTACCTAGTTTTTTCACTGCTATATCCCAAGTATGTAAAACCATCCCTGGCCCATTGGTATTCCAGAAATCTTAGTTGAATGAACAAATGAATTTTATGCCCATTACTCCTGAGCCAGAGCCTCTCCCATAAATTGCTCCTTATCTCTAGTAAATACTTAGAATAAACTATGTTTTTGATGAATATTTACAATTGAAGTCCTGTATCTACTGTTCTTTTAAAGTTAAAATCAGCTTTCACTGTTTGATTTCTATCTTCTTTAGTTATCGCAAAGTCAGACTTATTATTTCCAGAGACTATGAAGCACACCATATTTCACAGGGTGCTTCCTCTCCAAGGAGTTTGAAAACACTTTCTCATCAATCTCCACAGCTATATAACAAGGTACGTGTGTCCCGTTATCTCCCCTGCCTTTTCCTCTCCCTTCTGCTCCCAGTCAGCTTTTTTTCCCTTGCATGTCTTCAAAGATGAAACTAGCTTAGACATAACAGAACAACCACTTTCCAATACAAAACAGCTCCTTGAATTATTGGCCTGGACAACTTTCTGAAAGGCTGGGCAATTGCACAGGGTTATAGGCAGTGGGCATGATAATGCCTGGAATGGTGTCAGATATGGAAATGTCTGTGGATTCTACTCATTTCCCTATTCTTGCCATTGCCACATAAGCAAAGTAGATTGAAAAATAACAGAAATTCACTGGATACGTTAGCCTCACTGCTACGGTCTGAAAGTTTGTGTCCCCCTAAAATGCATGTGTTGAAACCTAATCACCAAGGTAATATTATTAGCAGGTGTAGTATTGGGGAGGTGATTAGGTTATGAGGAAAGATCCTTCATGAATGAGATTCATGCACTTATAAAAGAGGCTTCAGAGAGGTTCCTGTCCCTCTTGCCATGGGAGGTTACAGAGAAAAGGCAGCCATCTGTGAACAAGTAAGCAATCCCTCACCAGACAACAAACCTGCTGGTGCCTTGATTTTGGACTTCCCAGCCTCTACTACTGTCAGAAATAAATTTCTGGTGTCTGTAAACTACCCAACTTATGGTATTTTGTTATAGCAGCCTGAACGGACTAAGACACAAATGGGTCTAGATTTTCTAGGAATATAAGGATCAAATAGGTCTCTTATGGTTCTTAGTAAGTGAACTTAAAGAGCAAAATTGATTTCCTCTGCTCTCCACTTACTTAACTAGACAGATGTACCATTCTTAATACACTACTTAACATAGTATTTTGGGGGTTGCTCTTCCTGAAAGGCTGTTCTCTCTTGGAATTATACCCTCTTCAAAAAAACAATTGACATCCCCTACTGAAAAAGAAATTAATATTAATCAGGGAATGATTCCAATCATTACTCTATGTAATAGCATTCCTCATTTACTCATCCAAATGGCAGATTGTTCTAATGCTGTGATATGTATTAATACCTTTTCCAGCAGGCCCCTGCCATCCGGATTGGGAATTCTTTTAGCAGAAGACAAAGCCTTTTCACATTTACAGATGAAGCTGCAAAAGGAAAGACCCACAGGAAAAAAAATCCCTGACTTTCCCTTTCTGTCATTCGCCCAAATATCCCTGGCTCAAAACCTCATCAGCATCTTCTACTGCCTCTCTCTTCACATCCAGACACCAAGTCCTGCCAGTTCCTTCTTTGATGTATTTTTCATCATCTTACTTGTTTTCCATTCCTTCTGCCAGCTTCCCACGTTCAGGCCTTTATTGTTTCACACCTGCCTCATTGAAATCACCTCCAAAGAGAACACGTCTGCTTTAGTTATTAGTGGTCTCCACTGGCTAAAACCGCAGTTTCAGCTTTTTAACCTGGCATAAGTACCTCCACATACAAATCTCTAGCACCTCTTTCTGTACTTATCACTACTCTGTGAACCTTCTGCTCTAGCCAAAATGTTCTAATTGGTATTTCTAACCGGATCTGCTACTTCAAATTTAAGTGGCATATTATGTGTAAAAACCATGTGGCAAAATTACAAACATTACGTAAGTTTGAATTTTTTGCCCTGTACATACCCCTGGCCACCCTATTGCAACTCCTTAATGGTTAATGATTCTCTCCTCATTCTTATGCTCTCCTCCTTACTCTGCTCAAAACATTCTTCCTCTCATCTAGCCATTCCTTTGGCTTTGGACCCATCTTTTCCTCTCTCTTCCCAGACCACTTCCAGTTAATACAACACATGGGAGGTTTTGAGTCTGCATCTTTCTCAAGGATCACCATTTGCATAATAAACCCAGGCAATTAATCAACATCCAGCAGTCAGACAGAAATTTCATTCTAGGCCCCCACTTGCCAGGAAGAAGGGATCAGGGTATTTCTGTCACCTCATAAGGAATGTCTGCCTTTTCGTATCACCCCCCCATCGGCCCAGAGCTCAATCCTACATACAATATACAGTGTTCTCTACCCACTCTTCCCTTCCCACTATGAGCCCACAGTGATCTTTGTCCTCTGAATTCTTATAGAGCCAAACTCTTGTGATTCACCCTGTTTACATGACACTTTGTCCCCGTCATGAGTAGTTACTTGGCCTTATCAGTTTATTTTTATATATTCAAATTGGTTGAAAACTACTTTAAGGTAACAACAGCATCTTGTATTAATTTGTAGTTTTATATTTCAATATTATCAAGCAGTAGCTGACACAAGATCACTGAAAATCGGTTAGTGGTGCTTCTTAGTCACACGGGAAGTGACTGTTAACTAACAATTCCTTCTCTTAGTTGAGGTGTTGATAGAGGCCACAGGAAGGCCTGTAGAAAACAGAAAGCCATTGTCCCTGGACGAAGAGATGCCAGAGGAGGGAGCAAAAGTGGGGAACAGTTAAGAGTCAAAATTCAACTGACAAATATGTCCACTTCAGCATTTTACTCAACGTCAGGAACACATTTATGTAATGTGTTTAAAATTACAAACTCCAGATAGTTCTTATTCCATCAATTCTTCTAATTTTACTCTTTTTTTCTTTTTTGGAGATAGAGTCTTGCTCTGTCACCCAAGCTGGAGTGTAGTGGCGTGATCATAGCTCATTGTAACCTTGAACTCCTGGCCTCAAGCGATCCTCCTGCTTCCCCTAGGCCTCAAAAAGTGTTGGGTTACAGGTAAGAGCCACCACTAGCACCCTGATTTTGTTTTTCGCCATAGGGATAATATGTGTATGTACATACATCACCTGAACCAGGTTTCATGAGCCTCAGAGTGCTCGCTGCCCTGGCAATAATAACCCTGACCTTTGTTTCCTTGAGGTTTACCCGTGCTCACTTTGCCCTGCAGCCATCATTCTGACACCAGAAAGCAGTAGAATGAACAAATATAACAACAGAAACAAGAGGTGTTCCTGACTACTCAAGTAGGGAAATAATAAAGCATAATAATTAATTTTAACATAGTAATACGTCTTATGTACAGAACACTACTATGGAGGAAGACCCAGCCAGAAAATAAAATGCCCCTATGCTTTTAATTGACAAACCCCAAACAATTAACTGTTCCTTTTGAAACAGTGGAGGTTATTTTCTTCCAGCTGAATGTTGCAGGGAAGACAGAGGAGGGATCTCAGCACCATCTGCTGTTTTAAAAAGGCAGGTTGGACCCCTGCTGCTTTCCCCAGAGACTAGTTTTGCTCCACATATCTTCCATTCTGTCCATGTTAGAAAGAAACCTAAATGTTACCTGCAGGTGCCAGTCATGGAAAATGTGTGGTTTTATGCCTAAATGATACGTGACTTTCTTTTTCCAGAGGCACATTTTTTTTTAAGGAAATCATCCATCTAGAATGAGTTTTACTGTTGAAAAGTACACTTATTTCCCTAAGTCAGATCCCTGACCTATAAAGAAGGATCTTCTTCTAATCACTGTATTTTTAACTTTAATTTTAAAATTATACAAATAAATACAAGTAGAGATTTTGATTGAAATAAACATGCATGTGTTACTGATATCAGTTAATTGTAGCATTACCATTATTAAAGTCTGTTATTGTCATAAGGAAAAGTGAAGGCAATTTTGATGCATCAACACTTTACCTTAGTACAAATACGTTAAAGAAAAAAGAAAGCATCAGGCACTCTTTAGAGATATGCAGCTATTTTATTTCTCTAAATTCTCTATTGCCTTGACAATTATGCTCCAGTTTAATGTTCCTTCTCCATTCTTGTATAAATATTCCAAAGCAGAAAGAACAAATGTCCAAAAGTCATTGTCATACAATTCTGTAAAAGACACAAATAAATGGAAGTCTCAAAACTTCTAATGTAAAACTTGCTGGCCAAGACATAATTTGGATGAGCAAATTTGGGGTTTGGATTTTTAAAATATAGACGTTGTTCCTAAAATTTAGTATAACATACATAAAAACTTGGTTTCTGATATAGGTCTACTTAGATTATGTAAGCAAAAATGAAACTGAATTATCAAATGAGTAATAGTTGTACTGGAGAAGTCTATCTTACTTTCTTCACTGCAGACCCTTCTCAGCATTATACATGTATAGACAAATTATTCCCAAAGTTCTAAAACTTTCCCTACTTAGCTGGAATATGATGTCTACTTCCAGTTTAGAATACAGAAGCAGACACCAAAGGAAAGTTTTATTCAGTCTGACAAACAATAAAATGGCTTCAAGTGACAGAGCTGTCCTTTCACTTTCTTAATTGTAAACAAATGAACTTTTCATTGGCAATTTTTGCAATGTGTAAATGTAATACGGTTCTCAAAACAGCAAATGCAAGCATTCGAAAGGTACAGTTGAAGAGAGAGGGGAGTAGGGATCAATTATTTTGTGAATTTTCTGGAAAACGAAACCATTATTCATAAGAAAATTGGAGGCTAGATCAAGCAATGACAACCCTCTAGATCTCCATCACGTAGTTGGAAATTTACATCCAAAGAGAGTACCTAAATAACTTCCCTTTCTGGGGCAGCAAAGATTTTAACCAGTTTCTCGGCAGGAGTGGCAAGGCTTCAAGAATAACTGAAGGAGAGAAAGCCTGGAGTGCTCCACAATTCAAAGGGCAAAAAGGTGGTTTCCGTAGACCCTTGGCACAGCAGAATGGCCATGCCAGGGAGCAAATAATCCCATAAAAGATTCTTAGCTTCCCCAGGAAGACCACCTCCTAACTAGTCCTTTAGGACCCTGCTATTTAAACTATCTGCCTGCTGTCACAGATAGTGCTAACCTATGGACTATCTGGGCATTCCACTGAAAGCCCAGAATTCCTATTTGGAAAACTAAGTTCTGCTAACTTTGTGTCTTGGATGTACTGTAAAGCAAATGCAGTGAGTGTTGGGACACGCTCAGCAGAATTATTCCCCGATCCAAAAAGGACAAGAGCATGAATTAGGAGGAAAAAGTCTACATTGTAAGGATAAAATAGCTCTTTCAGGTTTTACTGGGGCAGCCAGCTGGAGCCTCGGGCACGCGCGCCCTGGAGAACCTTTCCTCTTTGCCGCCCCAGCATGTCTCCCCTTTAAAGCCTTCTTGGTCTCTCCAATCCCAAGAGTTCCGCGGGACCTTGCGCCGCCGGCTATGGCAAAAACCTCAGGTGTCTACCCGCATTTCAGGGCGCCCCAGAGCGTAGGCGGAGTAACCCAGATCCGGTAAGTCAGTCAGCAGCCAGGAGCGCCTACCGCCCTGCCAGAGCACAGATGGCTGGGGAGGCGCGCGGATCCCAGGCCTCTCAGCGTCCCCAGAGCGCAAACAGCGGCCGGCTGGCGCCTCCCGCAGTAAGTAAGTGGCGATGCCAGGACGTACACATTCGCCAGCTACCTGTGCAAACAGCGTCCGTTCTCTCCACTGTATGATTGTCAGCTTCTTTGGTGAGTGCTGACACCAAGACAAGCATAGACAAAGTGGTCTGCACACCCTCCTCCTCCTCGCTCTCCCCCACTGGCCCGGCCTTGTACTTACAAGTCCACTCTAAGAGACACCTTCTAGCCACTTGTTTTGAGTCCAAGGAAACAAAGGAAGCACGGGTTGTGCACTGCACGAGAGAGTTAATCTCAAGTCTGTGCGAAGACAGGGAATCCCGGGGGCACCGCTGGCACGGGGAAATCAGCCTCTTCCGCCTCTCTGGACCAGCAGATTCGTGCATAAGGGTGGGCGAGGGCAGAGAGGGAAGCAATGAAAGAAAATAAAAGATAAAAATAGGGAGGAAAAGGTGAATATTTCAAGGGCCAGAGGGCGGGAGAGATGGAGCAAATTCCCGAACCTCAAGTCCAAGTTCTAGAAGTTGGGTGATAGGGTGGAGCTCCTTAGTGGGCGCGGCGGCTGTGTGTACAGTTTATTTATTTTTTAGTTTTTGGATTTTCTGCCTTGAACAACTAAGGATTAAACATCTACCGCAAAGATTTAGGGGATAGAAGAGAGAAGAGGCAATTGCTGGGATCAAAACTGATGCTAAAGGCAAAGTCTGAGCCAATGTCGCTTCTCACAAACTGAATTTTCTGGGCTCTCACGCCCCGACGCTGGGTCTCCTTTGCACAAAGCGCCCTGCGCTGGAGCGGGAAGTGGGGAGGGGACCAGGTCCGCAAGCCGCGGGCGGAGCAGAGAGACAGAGAAGAAGTGGCAAATTATCTTAAGTGTTGATTCCCTAGGGTTGGGGGAAGCATAGTGAATGGGGCAGATCCTGTAGCCCCGACTGGCCGGCTACTCCTCCGTCATCACTGGCGGCAGAACTTACACTTAATGATCTTCTTAAACGCGTTTTGAAAGTCCTTGTTGAAGTATGCGTAAATGACCGGATTAAGCAGAGAGTTGGAGTAACCCAGCCAATTGATTATGGCGCCCAACAGCGTTGGCATGTGGCAGCTGCTCTCGCAGAAGGGCAGAACAAGAGCCACGATGAAGAAAGGAAGCCAGCAGAGGATGAAGGTGCCCATGATGATGCCCAGCGTCTTCACTGTCTTCCTCTCTCGGGCCAGGGCCATCTTGCGCTTGGCATCGGCGTTGCGCTCATTTTTCCTCTCGAAAGAGGCGGAGGCACAAGGGGTAGAACCAGCCTCGCTGGGCAGAGGCAAGTGCTCTTTGGAGTTGCCCACTCGGTGCACCTCGATCACCTCTAGGGCGGCGCCATCGTCGCCTTGCCTCACCGCGCCATTGGCGCACAGAGCACCCCCTGCCTTGCTCTCCACGCCCAGCCTCCAGTTCCTGCCCCCCGACTCTCCATTCACGCTCTTCTTGGGCTGCGGGGTGGGAGATGCTCCATGACGGGTGTCGGCTCCGGTCTTCTCCACCTTTTTGACCGTCTTGCGGATGCGGAAGCGCGCAGCTCGGAATATGCGCCCATAGAGAACCAGCATGAGCAGCAGCGGGATGTAGAAAGCTCCGAAAGTGGAGTAAATAGTGTAGCCGTGGTCCTTGCTAATGGTGCATGCGTCGGGGTCCGAGCGGTCTTCCGGGGTGCGCCAGCCCAGCATGGGCGGGATAGAGATGAGGAAGCCAATAAGCCAAGTGAGCGAGATGAGCGCAGCGGCGCGCCGGGGCGTCCTCTTGTTCACGTAGTCGATGGGGTCCGTGATGGCCCAGTACCTGTCCAGCGCGATGGCGCACAGGTGCAGGATGGATGAGGTGCAACACAGCACGTCCAGGGCGATGAACAGGTCGCAGGTGACCTGGCCCAGTGTCCACTTGTTGAGCACCTGATACAGCGCGGCCATGGGCAGCACTAACACCGACACCATGAGGTCGGTGACCGCCAAAGAGCCAATAAGATAATTGGCCACGTTCTGCAGGGAGCGCTCCAAGGCGATGGCAGCCACCACGCACGCATTGCCCAGCACCGCGCAGAAGATGAGCGTGCCCAGCAGCAGAGAGGTGATCACTTGGTAGCTGGTCACGTCGGAGATACCAGTAGTGTTGCCGCTGGTCTCAAAGGGACCCGGTGGTGATGTGGTGTTGTTGCCCTGACCAGGGCTGAGCACATCCATGCCTGCGCGCCGGTGCGGGAACGGGGAGGGAAGAAAAAGCAGCGCGAAGATCCGCCTCGCCCCTTCCCCTGTGGTCTTCCCCCCCGCCCCCTTCTCCTGGGAAGTTTCGGAGGAAGGGAATGCAGGCACCCAAGCAGGAAGTTCTTACTGCTTCGGCGAAGGTATCTCTGAGGAGCAGCTTTCAGGCGCTCCCCCGGCTCGCGCAGTCCAGCGCGTTCAGAGGCACCAGCTGGGAAACTGGAGTTGGCCTGAAAGCAGCTCCAGGATCTCCGGGCGGCGGAGAGGTGGCTGGAACGTCTGTCTGTCGCTGTACATTTTACTTTGCCGCTCCCAAACTGGCTGCCGGAGGAGCTGGAGTCTCTCCTCTAGCAAACAGTCTCCAATCCCAGAAATATCTAGAACGGAGAAGCCCCATCCTCCACGGTCACTCTGTGACCCTCCTCTCCCTGTTTCCTTCCTTCCCTCTCTCCCCCTCTCTCCTCCTCTCTCTTCTCTCTTTCTCTTCTGCCTCTTTCGACCCCCTTCTCCCCACTTGCCTTCCCTTTCAGTCTCGCTCTTCCTCCTCACTTCCCTTTATTTATCCCTCTGTGAGTCGCTTCGAAAGCCAGGCTCCCTCCCTCCCATTCTAACCCTCCCCAACCCCAACCCCAACCCCGAGGAGTGCCTCTTTCCTCTGGGTCCCCGCCCTCCTCTCCCTCAAGCTCAGCGTCTTTGCTTTCCAGTCCCTTTTTGTCAACAGAGACTCAGAACTCACTTACACACACCGGATCCCTGTCGGTCAGACCAAGGTTGTAACAGATAAACTCCTCCTCCAATCCAGTCAAACTGGGGAGGGGGTATTCGAGGGGAGGGAATTCCGACTACTCATTGCCTCATATTCTCTCTCAAATTCTTAAATCGTGTCAGCATCCCTGAGTGGCAATAGGAGATGAGTAAAGGAAGCACAGGGAGCCTGAATGGGAAGGTGAACAGTCCTGGGTCAGTCTCCCAATAATTGCTAATTGAAGGAAGAAGACGGAGTGTGTCTCGTTTTTAAAAAGTTACCTCCCTCCGTTCTCGCGCCACTGCACTCCAGCCTGGGCGACAGAGCGAGACTCTGTCTCAAAACAAACAAACAAACAAACAACAACAAAAACGCTACCTCCGTTATCATCTAACAGTCAGACCGGATTCCTTCGGGGAGGATATTGCCTGTGACATTTTTTTTTAACCTTGGGGAACTAGGAGAGAACGAAATTATAAAGGACGTGTCAAAGGACAAGGAGAGGTAAACAACTGCAACTCGAAATGAAGAACAAAACTCAATGTGATATATATTCTAAACACACACACACACTTTTCCATCACCACTACACTTGTAATTTCAGTGACACTGTCACTTTGTGGCTAGCAAATTCAGGGATGGAAATATTTTGCATATGTGTTTTAAGAGAAGCCTGGCATTTTATATGGCCGTTTGCACTTCCTACCAGAGCCTGCAAACCTCTGGGGGAAACTTGGTGGAATCCCTGTTCGCTAGCCGGCTAGCCTCTCCTATTCCAGAAACTGGGTTCAGCACCTGGGACAGCTCTAAGCAATAAGGGTTTATGTCGCCACCTTCTGGCAAATGTTTTAGAGTGCCGTCTAGAAACCCTTATGCAGAAATAAAGCAAGTATTGAGGAAGTACAACTTCTTCTAGAAAGAGGAAGACAGTTATTAAAAGAAAAGGTAGCATTGAGTTTTGTCTCCTTCCTATTTTCTTTAAAAATTGGTTTTAGTGCCCTCTTTTGCTCTGAATTGCTCTGAAACATATTATTATATGTTTTAGCTTCCTTCGAAAGCCTGAAGTATCTGTCATTCACAAGTTTTAACTGGCAATGCCATTTTAATAAAGCTAGGCAAACACTTTCACCTGTGTTGGTTTTAACATTTGGAAATGTTAAATCATTGAAAATAAAGATACTTACATGGGTTTGTTCTAAGCTGTTTCCTTTAACAAGAAAAAAATTTAATCACATTTGAGCATTGGTAAAGAATGGGACTTCTAAGCAACTACAGTAAACATACCATACAACATTTCATTTATACATCCTGACTGCATGACTGAGGTGAAAGGAAAGTGCAGAATGCAGTCTCTGACTCTGGATAACACGCACAGATTCACTACAGATTGCAATAATCTTAATATTGTGTTCAAATCTGAGCTCTGAATTCCATAGCTCTGAATTCTCCAAGCCCAAACAAAAGAGCAATCACCAAAGCATCCAAAAGATTCTAGTTGGGCCAATGCATTACAGTACAGGACAGTGTGTTTGGATAAGGTTTTTTGTTTTGTTTTGTTTTTGTTTTTGTTTTTTTTTTACAGTTCAGTTCTGGGCACAGTTCCCACTCAATCATTTCAGCATGCCACCACAATGAGCCTGCCATTTTGATGATTCATTGCACTGAAAAGAAAGAGATAAGTATACATGGCGATGCTGTTTACAGACTCTGAAGAAGTCTTTTTAAGATTCGTGAAGGTATCTATTTCCACTTCTAAAGTCTCTTGACAAATACAGAACTATATTTACAGTTACGGTAGAGCTGGAGGTCCAAAAATTATAACGGAAAAACATTTAAAAGCTGAATCCTCTAAAATTAAACTTTGCAATTATAGTCGAGACTATAAACAAAGTAAAATGAAGGAAACTTAAAATTTAAGAAGCAAATATATGCATATCAAGAACATAATTAAGAATTGTGTCAAACACACATGTAAATATGTAAATCACAAATAAATCAATAAATATGTTAGAATTCTGCTTTCATCTGTTGGATCCCAAATAGTTTAATAACTGACAAATTTATTTTTTCTCATAAAGTTAAAATGCTGTAAAATCTGGGATTAATATTCCTGAGGTCTAGCATTTGTTATTCTGCTTTAATATGCTATGATGCAGAATTTATCAAAGTTTATAAAAATCCAAAGTAATTCAAGTTTTTTCTTAGAAATAATACACGTAATATATCAAACATTTTATTTCTTATACTTTAAAAGTTTTTAAGGCACACTTACGAATACTAGGAGGGAAATAGAAGTATGAAAGTATATAGCACTGATTATGGTTCCATAGTCTGCAAGTGACTAATAGATATTTATGTTTAACTTTTTTAAACTAACAATACTGTGATATATAATGATATATACAGAATGATATTGCATTTCTTCATTTTCACTTAGCCAATTCTTCTATGTTTAACTCTTAAAGATACAGAATACTAAATATTTCTTAAGTAAATGCTGCAAACCGAAGCTCCTGCATAAAGAGATGAGCTCTTATTCTTCAAGGCCTCTAAAGTTAACCTAAAGAAAAGCAAGCTTTGTAATGGATATTATTGATGATATCATTTGGAAAGAAAAATTCTAGTCATTCTGCCTTTATTTCTTTTTGAATTTACTAGATGCCAGCATAAACTTGTCAGGTTATGAATTTAGGGTATGATACATCATCCATCATGTGAAATTTCTCTAAAATCGTTTTTAAAAGATAAATATTTTTAACATTTTCACAGGAAATTTGATACACACCCAGCATTTCAATGTAATTCCTTGACCAGGGACACAAACTAAAAAGATTTAAGCTGAAGTTTTGCTGTGAACCTTGAAGCCCTATCATTACTGAAGGCTGGTAGTTGGAGTTTCTCGGTAATTGATATGTTTGTCCATTATCCCCAAACTATGGTTGATTTGTCTTTATTACTGAAGAAAGAATCTATATAGTAAAGAGTTGAATATTTGCTTATGAGATTATAAAACTCGTTTCTAAAAGCTCCTAATGAGAAAAAGTTTTTACTTTTTTTCATGTAATTAAAACTAGAATCAATTATTTTGTTAGGTTAAAAACATTATTCTAAATTTAATTCTTCCCAATTCCCAAATACTATAGCAGTAGGGCAACTGTGTTTTTTTCAGAACTGTGAATTTTGATTGGAAATGACTAGGAGAAACAACTTATACAAAACCTTTCCTTAGATAATTTGGGAAATGTGGTCTTCTGATTATCAGTGAAAAGATTCAAAAAATGCAACCAAAATGCCAAGAAAATAATTTTTCTTTAAAACAGCATGGTTTGTTTTTGTATTGTGTTTTCTTGACTTTTTTGTTGTGTTTTGCTTTTTTCTTATCTAATCCTCACTATATACCTTCCTCTAATAATATCATTTCGTCACTGCTTTTGCTCCCTGTCAGGCACTTGCAGGCCTGGAATTGCACTGGGTTTTCAATGATAAAACACAAACAGTGGAAGCGTCAATCTCCACTTTTGAGAATTGTCAGGTTGACTTAGTGCATTGAGTACACATACTAAAAGCACAGCACATAAAGAGTGAAAAAAACGTATAACATGTATTTTCTATGCATGCGACTTGAACAAATTAATTAACCCTCTTATTTCCTCAGTAATGAAACTAGTATAATAATAGACTTGTGAAGATTAAACCATTTAATACATTTCACTGGCTCATAATAAACACACAATAAAGATTAAACAATAATACCAATAATACTGATGTAAAGTAAAAATATTAATTCTCTGTCTATTGATAATTGCTCTAAAGTGTGGAAAAAGAGAGCTGGGTGGCCTTAGAGAGTGAAGATTGAAAAAAAAAGTCTCTTTCAGGCGAGGATTTATTAGGAAAGCAATTTGCATGTGAATGTTACATTCTCCCCATTCTTTAAAGTATTTGGTAAGCTTCCAATTCTCTGGGAAATTCTGAGTAAAAGACAAGCAGAAAGCAAGATGTGTTTGCTGCATTCGGAGACTTCTTTACATAATCAGAAGTTAGTGAAGGGAATAAAAGAACATGCCAATGAAAGTTCAATGATCAGTATTGAAAAGGACTCTACTCTTTCCCTGGAAGTTCATCCATTTGTTCAAAAGCATAAAATAAGTATTTGAAATTATTAGGTCCTAATAAAATGTTTAAAAATTCAGTAAAAACCCAAAGAGTATTTTTATTGTGAGAAATTAACAGATCTATAGTGACAAACATTAATAAATGTACTTTTACAATGCTGTCCTTCTGTCAATATTTTTATTGTTCATTTTTGAAAGAGTAAGAGCATAGCTGGGATGAGAAAAATGTTTGGAATGCTAGTTCAAAATTTCCTATTGCTCTAAAGATAGTCGGAAATTAAATTCAGTCTAACAATTTTTGAAACAAAATGCAGTTACTCTGTTTAACTTAACAACAGGTGGAAATACCCACATTTTTATTTTCTTTGGCAAGTGACATTTTTGTTGCAAAACTTAAATCGGTGCTTAATATTACAGAGTATTTTAATGTTTCTATACAGCATGCTATTATATAAATGCAATAATTGTGATTATAAAATACTGGTCTAAAACTGTGTCATTTGGTGTATTGAAGCAGTAATGTATATGTTGGTTGAATATAGCCACT